GAGCAGCGCCTCCCCTGTCCGTCACGCCGGCCCGCCGGCCCAGCGCGCCCTCCCGGATTGGCCCGCTGGCCGCCCGCCAGGGCCAGAGCCGGCGCTCATTGGGCCTCAGGGCTGTCCTTCAGGAAGCCCAGGCGTGGGTGGAGCAGCGGGAAGATGGGGTCGCGAGCGTGGCGGCCTGTCTGATTGGACGTAGCACGGACGGGGCGGTGCTTCCAGGGCGCCGCGGGCGGGCGGAGTCTCGCGCGCGGGCGGGGCCTCGCGTGTGGCCCGCAGGCCGAAGCGCTGTCCGCGGTGGGGCCCTGGGCCGGCGCTGCTCCCTGCGGTGGGCGGCGTTGCCGACGCCTTCCGTTCCCTGCTTTTAAACCGAATTTTCTGTCTTTTCTCCCTGGTTCTGGGAATCGAAGCCAGGACCCAGGACGTTGCACTCACTTTATAGAAGCAGGCATGCCCCGAGAGCGTGTCCGCTTGCAGCCGGGCATCCAGCGCGCTGCCCAGCGCCCGGCCGCCGTGCCTCTCCCCCGCTCACCGCCCCGATCCTCCAGCGCCCGGCCGCCGTGCCTCTCCCCCGCTCACCGCCCCGATCCTCCAGCGGCCGGCCGGCCACCGTGCCAACCCCAGGCAGGAAAGGCCATGAGACTCTGATCTCCAATGAACCACCAGAAAACTGGAAGTGGGGCTGTGGCTCAAGTGGTAGAGCGCTCGCCTTGAGCTGAAGAGCTGAGGGACAGCGCCCAGGCCCAGAGTTCAAGCCCATGGCCCACAATTGGCGTGCCCCCACCATGCAAACACACAAACCCTTGTTATCCTCCCTCTTTATTACACAAAAAGATTTGAGAGCCTGGAGTGGTGGTGCAGAAGGGGCCTGAGTTCAAAGTCAGCCTGAGCTACAAGGCGAGTTCCGGGCCGTCCTGAGCTACACAGAGAGACCGTCCCACACGTACACTCTGTGTGTACATCTATGCAGATCACGAGCTCACACTTCTGGGTGTGCAGTAATTGTGTGACTACCACCACCATCCAGGCACAGAGCACTTCCCTTCCCAGACCCTGCCTGTGGGCTCTCATCCTTGGCCGTGACCCCTGGCCACCCCATCAGGTGGCTTTGCCTCTTTCAGTGTTACACACTGGCACAGAGAGCCCCTGCCTCCCCGCCCCCAGCCCAGGGGGGCAGGGGAATGAGATTCATCCTCTGCACAGTGTCCCAAGTTGTGGGCCCTGACGTTTATCCTCTGAGCGCAGCTGACCAATGGGGATGGCTCCAGCTTTGAAAAGTTATTGAAATGAGCAGCTATAGACATTTGCTAATGGGCTTTTGTATGAACAAGGCTTTGTATTTCTCTTGGGTAAATACCTAAGGGAGGGAATGGTGGATTATATGGTATTTGCTTAAGCTTTGTAAGAAACAGCCAAACTTTTCTAAAGAAGTTGCATGTTGCCAGGCACCGGTGGCCCATTCCTATATCCTAGCCATTCAGGATGCTGAGATCTGAGGATCACTGTTTGAAGCCAGCCCAAGTAGGAATCTCAACCAGCACAAGGCCAGAAGCAAAGGTATGGCTCAAGTGGCACTGTACCACTTGGGTGGATAAAGCTGACAGAGCTAGGCTCTGAGTTCAAGCCCCAGCACCGGCACACACATAAAAAAATGTTACTTATCACACTTGCACCACACGGGATAAGTTCCAGTCACTCCAGGGTCCCTGAGCATATGGTATTGCCAGGGTTTTGTTGTGTTTTTTCCCCCCTAGTTGTACTAATAGGTGCATAGTTGTATCCCACTTGACTTTCAGTGGTTTTTCTTCAGTGACATTGAGAATCTGTGTGCTCATCTGCCAGGTGTCCACGTATCTTCATGTCTGTTCCTGACTTTTACCCATTTTTTTCTCAGAAATAAACGATTGTGGGTCTGTTCCTGAATGGCCTATACCAGCACTGATTTAGCTTTCCACCAACATCAGACTGTGACTAGTTGAGCTTGTAAGAAATAAGCTCATGACTTGCACATTTGTAAGCTTGTTACTCTCTTTTAAAAATCCAGCAGGGGAAGGCAGCTCAGCGGTACAGAGCTTGTCTCACATGCATGGGGCCTTGGGTTCCATTCCTCAGCACCACATAAACTAAAAAGGCTAGAGTGGTAGAGTGCTCGCCTTGAGCTGAAGAGCTAACGACAGTGCCCAGGCCCAGAGTTCAGGCCCACGACCAGCTGGAAAAAAAAGAAAAAAATCTGAAGAAAGAATTCAAAGAGGACATTAGGAAACGGAAAGACCTTCCATGTTCATGGATAGGTAGAATCAATATTGTGAAGATGGCAATACTACCAAAAAAGATACAGAAATTCAATGCAATTTCCATCAAAAATCCCAATGATGTTCTTTACCAAGATAGAGAAAACAACCCAAAAATGCATGTGGAATAATAAAAGACCTAGAATAACCAAAGCAATTCTAGGCCAAAAAAAAAAAAAATACAAGTAGTATCACAATATCACAATACCAGATATCCTAATACCAGACCTCAAACTCTACGACAGCGCCATAATAACAAAAACAGCTTGGTATTGGGTTAAGATCAATGGAGCTGGGCGCAGGTGGCTTATGCCTCCTGTAATCCTAGCTCCTCAGGAGGCTGAGATCTGAGGATCGTGGTTCATAGCCAGCTCGGGAAGGAAAGTCCTTGAGACTCCTATCTCCAATAAGCCACTCAGAAAACTGGAGGTGGCGCTGTGGCTCAAGTGGTAGAGTGCTCGCCTTGAGCTGAAGGACAGTGCCCAGGCTCAGAGTTCAAGCCCCACAACCAAAGGGGAAAAAAAAGATCAATGGAATAGACTAGAAGACCCACTTATAGTCATCTGATATTTGATAAGGGAACCAAAGACATACAGTGGGGAAAAAAATAGGCTCTTCAACAATTGGGTGTTGGGAAAAATGGGCAGTCATATGCAGAAAACTAAAAGTGAATCCTTGTTTGTTACCACGCATGATATCAATTCAAAGCGGATCAAAGACCTCAATGTCAGACCTGAAAATTTTAAACTACTGTAAGAAAGGTTAGGAGAAACATTAAAACATAGATACAGGCAGAAACTTTTTCGATGGAGTCCCAGGGACACAACAGATAGTCACTAAACTAGAAAGACAGCCAACCAACCAGAAGAGCAGCAGTTTATGACAAAGGCCTAATATCCCATATATACGAGGAGCTCAAGAAACTAACCCCTCCCAAACCTAATACACCAATCATTATGTGGGCAAGGGAGCGAAAGACAGACTTCTCAGAAGAAGACATAAGAATGGAAAGGAAACACACAAGGAAATGCTTATCATTCCCAGTCATGAAGGTAAGATTCCATCTCACCCCAGTAAGACTGGCCAACTTCGTGAATTTGAACAACAAATGCTGGCGGGGATGTGGGAAAAAGGAACTCTACTACATGGTTGGTGGGAATGTAAAGTAGTGCAACCACTCCAGAAAGCAATCTGGAGGTTCCTCAAAAAACTAGACCTTCTCTAGACCCAGCCATAGCACTCCTGGGCATCTACCCTGAGCATCATGAGCCAGGGTGTGATAAAGATACCTGTACATCCGTGTTTACTGCTGCACTACTCACTGAAAGGATCCATCACATCCATGCCAGGGGACCACTCAGCGGCAGGCAGGCACAGGAGGAAGACTATAACAAGGTTTATTAGAGGAGCCATATTTCCCCTGGAGCGCGAGCGCATGGTGACCTCCACTATCTAGGTAGCAGCAGGGTCTGGGGGTAGGAAGTGAGGTAGATGGAGTTCAGGTGGGAACGAACTCCGGGGCAGGGAGGGGCTCAGGTGTGGGTGGAGCTGAGGACAAAGGTGGGCATATGCTTACATTCACAATAGCGAAGAAATGCAAACAGCCCAGGTGCCACATAACAGAGGAGTGGATCCAAAAATGTAGTACCTACGCACAATGGAATTTTACACAGCCATTAAAAAGAATAAAATGGTGTCACGTGCAGGGAAACAGATGGAACTAGAATTAATCATGTTAAGTGAGGTGAGCCAAGCTCAGAGAGAAATGGTGCATGTTCATTCTGATACATGAAGGTTAGATCTAAAACACACTGGCAGGTGATAAATTACACAGGATTCTAGATATTCACAGAGAGACCAAAAGAGAATACTCAGCGAAAAACACGAGGGCACAATGCTCAAGTGCCTCTTCGTATTTACATAAAATAATGCTCATACTGAAACAGACTCCTCAAGATATGGAAAGAAGACTCTTTGTTTTCTTTACCTTATGTGCAGTGTATTTATGTGTATGTCTTCGGGAGGGTGGGGGCAGAGAACCCAAGGGTGAAAAACTGCCTCAGTGGAGCTCTCTGGACGTTGATGAAAGTGAACTGTACAACTCGTGGGTGGAGATGGGAGGGAGGGAAGAGGGAAGGAACAAGCCACTGCACACCCAAGCAAGGCGCCGGTGGCTCACGCTGTCATCTTAGCTACTCAGGAGGCTGAGATCTGAGGAGCCCGGTTCAAAGCCAGCCTGGGCAGGAATGTCCGTGAGACTTGTGTCCAATTAACCACCAGAAAACCAGAAGTGACGCTGTGGCTTTAGTGGTAGAGTGCTCACCTCGAGCTGAAGAGCTCGGGGACTGGGCCTAGGCTCCCACGGACCAAAAAAAAAAAAAAACACTGTACAAAAGGAAATGTACTAATTCCCTGACTCATGCACATCACCCCTATAGTAATAAATTACTCTTTCAAAGCCCAGCAGAGGGGCTGGGGATGGAGGCAGCTCAGGGGCACTGCTGAAAACGAAATGGCAAGCCAGGCACCTATAGCTCACGCCTGTGATCTCAGCTACTCAGGAGGCAGAGACCTGAGGATCTCGGTTTGAAACCAGCACAGAAAAGAAAGTCTGTGAGACTCTGATCTCCAATTAACCATCGAAAACACTGGAAGTAGAGTTGTGGTTCCTGTGGCAGAACATTAGTAGACTTGAACAAAAGAAACGCACGGACACCACCCAGACCCGGAGTTCAAGCCCCAAGACTGGCAAGAAAAGGAAAAAACAAACTACCTAGCGGAGACCTTGATGAAGTCACCTTCCACCTGCAGCCACTTTGGGACGTGTCACCTTCACCTGTGGCCCTGGCTCTACTCCCCTGTGGCGGGTTCTCTCTCTTGTCCTGGGCAGCAGTCACACAAATGCTCCCAGTCAGGGATCTGAGCACTCTCCTGCCCGCAAGGGCGGCCAGGCAGTACCAGAGGAGCGCCGCGTTACCAGTCGGGAAGCGGTCCTGAGTGCCTGCCAAGCACGTCTGAAATGCAGACACAGAAGAAGGAAGCGCGCGGTCCAGCCTCTGTAAACGCGGTTTATTGGGTCTTTCCCCGTCTGCAGGAGGCGGCTGTGGTCAGGGGAGGGTCACGCAGGGACCTGACCCCCCGGCTCCCACATGCTGAGGACCGTGGCTCAGCTGCCACCACCTCCCGGGAGGGGAGGGAGGGTCTGAGGTAAAAGCCAAGGCCAGCGCTTGTGGCCATGGCCTGCCTGTGGCTGCTGCACAAAGTCAAGTCCAAGATGTGTCTGGCAAGACTGGAGGCGGGGGGGGGGAAGGGGGGGAGAGTGGACGGGGACCGAGGTAGCCCTGGAGTCCTCTCCTGGTTCAGGGCCCTGGGAGAGCCCAGCAGCCTGGGTCAAGGGGCTGTGGCCTGTAGTGTGCCAGATAAAGCTGGGCCTTCCTCAGGTGGCAGCCAGCCAGAGGCCCCCCGCCTTCGGTGGGAAGGGGCCGCCGCCTGGGGGCCCGTCAGGAAGCCGGCCCACGCCCCCCGCCCCCTGGGCCCGGCTGGCTCCCTCCCACTTCTAGCAGCTCGGAGGTGGCCTGGGGCTGGCCAGGTGAGGCTGCTGCACCAGGCCTCAGGAAGGGGCTGGGTGGGGCAGGAGTCAGCTGAGAGCCACTCCTGGGCGGGCGCTGTGGGCGAGGGGCCTGAGAATGAGAAGGCCGGCGTGCAGCCAGGCCCACGCCATCACATGTTTAAGAATGCAAAAGCTGACGGCTCTGAGCCCAGGTGCTCTGGGGCTGCTTCTCCGGGGGCCGCCGTCTGCGGGGAGCTGGGGGCTGGGCGGGGCTCCCCCATGGCCACCCCAGACCCCAGGGGACGGGGACGTGCCACCAGCTCCATGCCAGCAAACAGGGAACCATGGCTCCAGGGACCCTTGGCGGTGCCTGCATCCCCTTGGCCCGGCCCAGTCTTGCTGGGGACACTGGGGATGGGGAGGGGGCAGTTATCTGGGGGTGGGGTGGGGGCAAGGCTCGGAGGCAAGATCGGGGTGGAGCCCAGTGGCTGGAGGAAGACATGGCCCCCGGGAGGCGGCGCAGGGTCTGTCAACAGGTCAGACAGGCCTTGGACAGCAGTCAGGGGGCTGGGCTGGGCGAGGGGCTCGGGGGCCGGGGCCCGCTGTCCGCAGGAGGCCTCCAGGTAGCGCAGGATCTGTAAGGAAGGAGGAGGCCGTGTAGGAGCCACTGGGACACGCCCTGCTGGCACTGCCACCACACACAGAGGACCCAGGGCCCCCCGACCGGCTGGAGACGAAGGAAGCAGTGTGGCGTGGTGCATCTCACCACCACAAATTCTGGACACACGTGTCCCTGCAGCGGGCTGCTCATGCCCAGGGTGAGCTGGAGGTGGAGATGCGGAAGGGGCAGGGTGGGGACCACGGCTGGGGCAGCCGGCACAGCCTCTGCCATTCCCAGGCCCTGGCGCACGCAGGCCTGGCTGCTGCACACCTTGGTGGCCTTGCTGGTCACGGGTCCTGGGCTGCCGGCACTGAGCTCCCGAAGGCGCTGCTGGGCGAGGAGGAGGATGCGCTCCTGGGGCAGGAGGTCGGCGCTAGCAAGGGAGGCGACGGCACACAGGGATCTCTACGGGGGCAGGGGGAGGAGGGGACAGGGGACAGAGAATCAATGACTGGACACTGCCCCACTCTCGCCGCGAGGCCCTTCTGGGAGCCCCACGCACACCTCCTCTCTCCTGACAGGGAGAGACACAGTGGTCCTCTCCCTACTGCACTTCCCAGGATGGCCCCTGGCCAGCCAGGGGACCCGCCCTGCACTCAGTTGGCACACTGCCAACAAGGCACACTCCCGACGTATACCGTACACACATGAGCGAACACACGAACACATGAACGAACGCACACACACACACAGAGCAGGCCCACTCTCCAGCCCTTACCATCTGCTCGCCCTCACTGGCCTGGCCTAGCTGGCAGAGGAGCAGCTCCAGCACCGCCTCACAGTTGAGCAGGCCACACCTGTGCCAGGGAGGGGATGCGTGGGTAGGGCAGCCAAAGACCCGTCCTCCCTCCCTCCCTCCTGCCCATCCTGGGTGGCAGCCCCGGGCACCACGGCGGGCGGCTCACTCTCTGAGGAAGTGCTGTGTCTCCTCCCGGCTCAGGAAGGCACGTGGCCCTTGTGCCACGGCCCTCACCAGGCTCAGCTCCTGCTGGCAGTCACTCGGGGCCACGGCCTCGGCCCTGGCAGAAACACGGCTGGGTAGAGGCGGCTGGTCGCTGCGTGTGCGGCTGTGCGGCACCGGCCTCCCCCTCCCCCGCTGGGGGCCCCGGGCCAGGGAGGAAGACGTCCGGTCCTGCTCACCGTTCCGCCACGCTGCCTAGCTCCCGGCCGGCCGCTGAGTAGCTGTCGCTGCCGCACCGACTGCCAGAGTCTGAGGCCCTGCTCAGGTCACTGGTCCGGGAGGAATTCTGGGAGCTGGGGCTGCTGTCCAGTTCCTCCCAGCCCCCTCCGGCCTGCCCAGGTTGGTGTCTCACAGCTGGGAGAGAGGGGGAGCAGGTGAGCACTCTGGAGTTCAGGGCTGGCCTCTTCCCTGCCTCCCTGGACGGGAGACTGGGACTGAGTCCTGAACTGAGCATGGGCAGCCTCCTAAGCAGACTCCGAAATCTCCCGGACTTGTGTGTACCAGTCCTGGGGCTTGAATTCAGGACCTGGGTGCAGTCCCTGAGCTTTTGTGCTCAAGGCTAGTACTCCATCACTTGAACCACAGCTCATTTTTGCCTTTTTTGGTAGTTAATTGGAGATGAGAGTCTCACAGACTGGGCTGGCTTCAAACCTCAGACCTCAGATCTCAGCCTCCTAGGTACGCAGGATTACAGGTGGGAGCCACAGGCACCTGACTGGCTTATTGCTTCTTGATTTTCCCACGCCCACTCCCCCTGCCCTGAGCTGGGCCATGGCGCTGGCTGGGTGAGGCGGCCCTGACCATTTGCCTCTGTGCCCCGTGAGTGACATGAAGGAAGACCAGACCCAAGGGAAGGGCCCTCACCTCCATACCTCGAGCCCCTGGAAGCAGGCTCCGGGCAGGGGGGTGACTGTGGCCAGCTGGAGGCGTCACGGCAGGCTGGTAGGTGTCGCTTCGTGGCAGAGGTCTCTGTGCAGCAAGCTCAGGCCCAGGGCGCACAGCTTTGGCCACCACCTCCGCAGCTCTCTGGACAGTGGCCAGAATGGCCTCGCCCGCAGAGCCTGTGCCCAGAAGGAAGGGCTGGCATCAGCACCTGGGCCTTCCCACTGACTGTCCCCATGTTCCTCACAATGGAGGCGTGTCCCCCCCCTCCCCAAGTGCAAAGGAGATCGGATCACACTACAGGGCAGAGGGCCCCTTGCAGGTCCTCAGGCTCTTCTGGAAGCTTCCTGGAACCCTCTGTTTTAGTACTTCTGGGCATTTGACTCACAGCAGTTAAGGCCCGGGGCATCCTGAGACTTGTTCTGAGAAAGAGCGTCTTTGCCTTTGCTTGAAGGCTATTAGGCTCAGGCCAGGAAAGGAATGCCCCCAACCAAAGTCAGCCAAAGCCCACAGAGTCATGACCAGACCACCTGTACCAGTCTGACCTCCAGCCCTGGAGCGAGGCTGGGGTCACTTGGAAGCTACTGCAAATGGCCATGCACACCCTTAACCATCAGCCTCCGGGGGTGCTGTTCCAGCCTGCCAGCACAACTCCCACTGCGGCCGCTCTACTCTTATGCTGTTCCAGACTGCCACTTCACCCGTCTAGCAGCGCAACCGACGCCCGGATGCCATGTCTCAGGCTGGCTCCTCTTACCTGTCTGGGAAGAGGCCTGTCCACACCCATCCAGCCTTCCTCTCAGCTGAACAGAGTGGCAGTGGGAACTCAGGAAGGAGGGTGGGAAATGCAGCTTGTGGGGTGGGGAGAGGGGACGGCCCTTCCGATCCCTGTACCCCAGCCATGTTGAGCCCCGCAAAGGCCCTCACTCCTTACCTGCTCGGCCCGGTTCCTTACTGTAGCCAAAACCCTGCAGAGCACTGTGAGGCCTGGCCTGGGAGCCCATGCCTGGGGGAGGACACGGCATCAGCGCAGGCCCGCCCCTTCCCAGGACACTGGCAGAGGAAGAGGCCCATGACGGGCTGGCGGTGGTCATGGGGGTCTCGTACCTGCGGGGGGAGGGGCCCTGGGTGACTGGGAGGGCGGGAGTGGCAGCAGGACGTCAGAGAACAAGGTGCTACCCAGGTCCTAGACAAGAAAGAAGCCCTCAGCGACCCATGGTCCTGTCCCCAGCCGCTCTGCTTCGTCCAGCCACGGGGGCAGCGCCTTGCAGCCAGGGGCAGGGCCAGCACAGGGCGCATCCCAGCACAGGCCCCCTGTGCTGCAGGACCAGACTCACCTGGGCAGCTGCCCGCACCTTCTGGTACAAGCTGTTCCCATGAAGAGGGTCTGGGGGCCCTGCAAACACTTCAAGGCAGAGAAGGTAGAATGGGGCCAGGGCTGGACACAAGCACAGCTGACTGTCCCCGCCCCCCAGGGATGCCCCAACAGGGCAGCACTTCAGCCACCCCAGTCCCCTCCCCCATGGCTGACCCGGGCCACCTCCCTTGGGACCCTACGTAGAGCTTCGGGCGCCCTTCACCTCCCACAGTGCTGAGTCCATCAGTGGCCGTGTGGCAGCGGCTGTCCCCCAGAGCTGAGCCAGCTTGCCGCCCAGCTCACCCCACCGAGCCAGGGACTCCCGACTGCTCTCTTTGGCCCACTCCTCAAACCAACACAAACTTTTAGAGCCTTCCCTGGATGGACCGTGAAAGCTGTGATCCCTGCCAAAGCTCAAGCACTTGGTTCTCAGCTCAGCCTCCCTCTGTTGAGAAGCTACAGTCTGGCAGTTCAGGATTTCTGTGTCCCAGCCAACTGTCCCCAAGCTTTGTCTGCATGGATTTCCCTCTCGGCCCCTGCACAAACCCATATACACAGCTTCCTCTCTCTACAGTTCCCTCCCCAGGCGCCCCTTAGCACACCTTTATCACACACCCCCGACCCCCTACCTGTGGCTTCTTGGATGAAGGCAGAGTTGCGTTTGAGGATGAGTAGGAAGGAGGATGAGCCGTGGCCACACAGGTAGAGCAAGATCTTTAGCACCTGGGGAATTGGCAGGTACGCAGGTGTGGCAGGGCCCAGCTACCCGCCGCCCGGACTGCACGTCCGCCCCTGTAGCCTGGCCGCTTACCAGCAGCAGCTAGAGCCCCACAGGGCCACTCCAGAACTCACCTTGAGTTTCACGTGGCCAGAGCTGCTGTCCAGGCGGTTCAGGAGGTACTCCAGCAGGCACTGGCTACTGCCCAGGGACTCGTGGGAGATTTCTGGGACACGCTCCGGTTAGGGAAGGAGCAAGCTGATGCAGGCCACTCCAAGACACACTGGCAGAGAGCAGTCTGCCTGCCTGCTGCCCTTGGTCTCCTTGGGTTGCCCCCTCTGCAGGTACCTACCACAGGCCCCAAGCATGGCACTGCTCTTTCTGAGGGGAACCCATACCCAGTTCCTATGGTAAAGGAGCCCTGGATGGCCGTGGAATAGCAGGGCTCCTGGTAACGGGCATGCTGTACCGGGGCCCCTGACATCCTCTCCCCGCCATGCCGGAACACCGAGGAAGGATACTCGCAATCTCTTCAAAGAGGTAGCCAGGACACGGGATGTCATCATCCGATGTTCCTTTCAGGAGAATAGGTAGCTGTGAGGAAGCAAGAGCCGCCAACAATGACCATCTCGCACAGCCACCAGAGGTGCTGGCGTGAGCAGAAAAACCAACCAGGCAGAGGTGCTGGCATGAGCGAAACCCAGGACCACCAGCCTGACAGCAGGCACCTTCCTGAGATCAGCCCAAGTTTCACATCCAGGCAGCATCATAGATGTGCAGGCTTATGTGACTAGCACGGTGTTGCAAATAACGTAGTTTATGGCTCTGAAAACCGGAAACAGCCAGGTACCCAGGCTGAGATATTGAGGATTGGGTTTTGAAGCCAGCCCAGCCTAGGCAGACAGAACTGCGAAACAGCCAACAGACACGCAAAAGTGGGGTGTAGCTTGCGTGGTAAAACACCAGCTGTGAGCGGACAAAGTCAAATGAGTGAGGCCCCGAGGCCAGTCCTAGTTCGGCACGAAGAAACCCAGCGAGAGACACTTGTCCTCACAGTTTGGTATTTCCACACACAGTGGTGGGGGGGGGGGTCCAGAAATGCTTAAACTTGAAAATGGGGGGGAGGCGTCGGGTGCCGAACCCGGGCTGGGCCAGTCAGGTGGACCCCGCGCCCCACGAGGGGCCCCGACGCAGCCACACCGGCTACCTGTCGGGCACGCCCGGGCCCCGGGGGAGGGTC